AATGTCAGACCTAAAACTATAAAAACCCTAGAAGAAACCCTTGGCAATACCATTCAGGACATAGACATGGGCAAGGATTTCATGACTACAACACTAAAAGCAATGGCAACAAAAGCCAAAATTGACCAATGGGATCTAATTAAACTAAAGAGCCTCTGCACAGCAAAAGAAACTACCACCAGAGTGAACAGGCAACCTACAGAATGGGAGAAAATGTTTACAATCTACTCATCTGACAGAGGGCTAATATCCAGAATCTACAAAGAACTTAAACAAATTTATAAGAAAAAAATCAACCCATCAAACAGTAGGCAAAGGATATGAATAGACACTTCTCAAAAGAAGACATTTATGCAGCCAACAGACACATGAAAAAATGCTCATCATCACTGGCCATCAGAGAAATGCAAATCAAAACCACAATGAGATACCACCTCACATCAGTTAGAATGGCAATCATTAAAAAGTCAGGAAACAACAGGTGCTGGAGAGGATGTGGAGAAATAGGAACACTTTTACACGGTTGGTGGTACTGTAAACTAATTCAACCATTGTGGAAGACAGTGTGGTGATTCCTCAAGGATCTAGAACCAGAAATACCATATGACCCAGCCATCCCATTACTTGGTATATACCCAAAGGGTTATAAACCATGCTGCTATAAAGACATATGCACACATATGTTTGTGGTGGCACTATTCACAATAGCAAAGACTTGGAACCAACCCAAATGTCCATCAATGATAGACTGGATTAAGAAAACGTGGCACATATACACCATGGAATACTATGCAGCCATAAAAAAGGATGAGTTCATGTCCTTGTAGGGACATGGATGAAGCTGGAAATTATCATTCTGAGCAAACTGTTACAAGGACAGAAAACCAAACACCGCATGTTCTCAGTCATAGGTGAGAGTTGAATAATGAGAATACTTGGACACAGGGTGGGAAACATCACAACATCATACACCAGGGCCTGTCGTGGAGTAGGGGGAGGGGGGCGAGATAGCATTAGGAGAAATACCTAATGTAAATGATGAGTTAATGGGTGCGGCACACCAACATGGCACATGTATACATATGTAACAAACCTGCACGTTGTGCACATGTACCCTAGAACTTAAAGTGTATTTTCAAAAAAAGAAAAAGAAACCTAATCCCCAATGTGGCAGTATTGAGAGATGGGCCTTTAGGAGGTGACTGGGTCATGAGGGATGGATTAATCCATTCATAGATTAATGGATAAATGGGTCAACAGGTTGGTTTTCACAGGAGTGGGACTGGTGGCTCTATAAGAAGAGGAGGAGGCACCTGAGCTAGCACACTCAGCTCCCTCATTGTGTGATGCCCTGCACCACCTCAGCACTCTGCAGAGTCCTTACCAACAAGAACCACTTACCAGATGCAGTCCCTAGACCTTGGACTTCTCAGTCTTTATAACTGTAAGAAACAAATTCCTTTTCTTTGTAAATTACCCCATGTTTCAGGTATTCTGTTATAAGCAACACAAAACAGACTAAGACATCTTACCACATTCATCTGTCCACATAAGTTGCAAGTATATGGTCAGTAAATTATCTTATAAGTGCTCCCACACTGAATGCATGGTAAATGCCAAACATGTAATTGTAATTTATTAGTTGAGCCAATAAATCCACCCAGATAAAATCCATGCCCTTCACATGTTGGTTTTACTCTCCTCTGGATGTTGGTGTTACCTCCAATCATTTTTTAGTTAGTTGGCATAAATTTTTCTCTCAGGCTGGGCGCGGTGGCTCACACCTGTAATCCAAGCACTTTGGGAGGCTGAGATGGGCGGATCACCTGAGGCCAGGAGTTCAAGACCAGCCTGGCCAACATGGTGAAATTCTGCCTCTACTAAAAATACAAAAATTAGCTGGGCATGGTGGCAAGTGCCTATGATCCCAGCTACTCCGGAGGCTGAGGCAGGAGAATCGCTTGAAACCAGGAGGTGGAGGTTGCAGTGGGCTAACATCATGCCACGGCACTCCAACCCGTGTGACAAAGTGAGACTCCGTCTAAAAAAAAAAAAAAAAAAAAAAAAAAAAAAATTCTCTAAACAGCCATGTAGACCATTAGTGTCTACTGGATAATTTTCTACTCAGAGACAAATAGAAAAGTGAATATGGCAGAGAAAGAAAGAGAATTATTGTTCACTTCATACCCATGAGAACATATTCTTAGTTTCCTTTTGACAGAAAATAGAGAAGTCCTTAATCTATAATTTTTGATGCTTTGATTAATCCAACAAAACAATAGCTGTGGTTTACAAATCACTTCAATCAAGTAGATTTTATAGCTCACTGATTTTCTAAAATATCCTCATAAATAGATTCTATTATTGTTACTATTAAGACAGTGTTATTATGCCAGACACTGACATAATATATGTGGGAATCAGTGCAAGACCCTGGAACATTGGTCTGGCATGAAACATAAATCAGATGTCATTCATTATATGAATGAATAAAAATATGGCTGGGTGCAGTAGCTCACAGCTGTAATCCCAGCACTTTGGGAGGCCAGGGCAGGCAGATCACTTGAACCCAGGAGTTTGAGACCAGTCTGGCAACATGGAAAAACCCCATCTCTACTAAAAATATAAAAAATTAGCCAGGTGTAGTGGCACATTCATCAAGTCACAGCTACTCAGGAGGCTGAGGAGGGGAATCACCTGAGCTCAGGAAGTCAATGTTGCAGTTAGCCACGATCATACCACTGCACTCCAGCCTGGGTGACAGGAGGGTGACCCTGTCTATAGATTCTCTACTAATTTTCTAAATATCAATGTGATTAGCAAATGGCGAGAGCTCAGATTTCTCTAACAAGTGGTATTTTTTCAAAAATCCAAATTCCTAACTATCTCTTTTCAGATCCTATTGAAACTTTAAGACAAAATAATAAAAATATTTTTGGAAATAATATAAAATGAATACATAACATGTTTTCCATACATATGTAGGTCAAAGTGATGGCAGCAGTGTCCTGTCTGGAGTGGCCTCTGCAGAGATGCCGACTACAGCAGGGGAAGGCATGACTGGGACTGCATGCTCTGTGGAGCTGGCAGGGCTGGGAACAGGTGGAACCCCGCCCCCTACCCAGTTGGCAGGGCGGGAGCCCCACACTCCCAGGCACAACTGCAGCTGCTCAGCTGTGGCTCTGGACCCTGGCATCCCTGCACTCTTAGGGAACAGGAAGCCCTCCTTCATAGGCAGGCTTGGAGGTACCTGCTCCTGCTCCCCGGCCTTTCCCCACTCCTGGCACCCCCTCCAGGACAGAACAGAGTTGTGGCTGAGCCTGAGCACTGTCACAAACCTGCTGGCTGTGCACGCACTTGGGCTGGGGCTGACACACCAGCCCCCTGCTGCCTTGGCCCCCTCCAGACTTTGGGTGTTAACAAGCATGGGAGGGAGACCAAGGTGGGGAGGGGGTTGAGGGTGGCTCGGCACAGGCCTGCAGGTGCCCCTCTGTATGAACAGTCTGGGCATGATGGACAACAGGAGGCACACAGACTCCTGCATGGAAAGGGGTGGGTCCCTGGTGAAACCCCACCCTCAAGCCAGGGATGGTCTGAAGCCTGGGGCCTGGGCTGCCAGCTCCAGGTGAAGGCTGCAGCTTACAGTGAGAACTTACGGTGCTTTTTCCCAGCCACCCATGGCCACCCATGGACCAATCAACACGTACTTCTTCCCTTCTGAGCCCGTTAAAAAAACCCAGACTCAGCCAAACTCAGAGAGACGTCAGGACTACCAGCTGCAAAAACGAGCTACCCATTTTGGGTCTCTTTGACTGTTGGGATGATCTGCCTGCAAAAACAGCTACCTACTGCGGTCTCTTCTCCACTGATTGCTGAGAGCTGGGTACTTGGTGGGACAACCTGCCTGCCGAAAAGAGCTACCCACTTCGGGTCTCCTAAGAACTGTCCTGTGCACAATGAAGCTCCTCTCCACCTTGCTCACCCTGCCGTTGTCCACATACCTCATTCTTCCTCGATGTGGGACAAGAATTTGGGACCCACCAAATGGGCAGGATTGAAACAGCTATAACACAAACAGGGCTTAAACACACCCCCCAGCTCAACAACTTGCAGGTGATGAGAAGGAGAGAAGAGCTTCAGCCCTCTGGGGAGCCCAGACCTAAGGGCTCCCAGAGCCAGGGCTGTGGCACTGTCTTTGGGGCTCTGCAGTTCCTGATGTCTCCAAGCTTCCAGGCAACACTGTGTTCCCCTTGTCCAGATGGAGGTGCCCACAGTGGGAGCCACATGTTGTACATCTGGTCCAGCTGCAGCCTATCAGTGAGCCAGCACCTGTGCTGGCACCTGGAGCTGCCCACCCCTCCACAGCAGCCAGCATGCCTGGCTGTGGGCAGTGGCCAGACCCGTGCTCACTCACCCACATACCCCTTGCCGCTCCATGCCAGGCTCACCCTTGGCAGGTGTGGAATTCAGGCCAGTAGTGAAAGCTGAGTGCAGCCTGCCAGGCAGAGTGGGAGGAAGGAGCCCAGCCAGCCCCAGCGATACTCAGGCAGAAGGCCCCGCCAGCCACAGAGTTTTCCAGCTGGTGAAGTAACACCCCAAAGATCTCATAACAAAGTTTACAAAGTGAGCAAACTCTGCTGTCTTATTCTAGAGAGATAGAAAGTAGAATGACATTGGCAAATATGGGAGACTCTTAGAAGGTCCTGATACAAATTTTGAAAAACAAACTTCATGATTTTGAAAAGCTAATTTCAAAGTCTGATTAAATATTTTATCTTATTAACTTCACTTAGTAAATAACTAACTTCAAAGTCTGATTAAATATTTTAGCTTATTAACTTCACGTAGTAAATAACTACTTCCAAAAATGTAATAATGCAGATAAATGAGCATCCCATAACAAAGGATCCATTAAAAGACAGTTTTTAAGAAAAACTTTCTGCTTTTTATTACTCTTTATCCAAAAAGAAGAAAAGGAAAAGGAAAGAAAATACCCTTGGTACAATTTTTATTTCTTTGTTGCTTTTGTTCTCTCCACTCCGTTTATTTTCTTTTTGAGTCCAGGTATTTAATTTCATCAAGCCAAATGGTTGCATCATTATCAAGATTTTGATTTCAAATAATGCTGGATTTGATGGAACCAGTGATTCTAAACAGGCATAACAATGCATCAGGACTTCTCAGAGAAACACAATGGAATAATAAAATATAATTCTTAAGTATAAAATTTGTAATATTAGTAATTTTGTTGAAAATACTTACTGAGCCAAGTTCTCCTTGGTGCCAAAGTCACTCCCCAACAGTAAACATAACAGTTCCAAAAAGTGGACTTCCAGTAGCCTGAGAAAGTTAACACTGTTCTTGAAGGATTAACTTAAATCCAAAGAAAACACAAACCCCTAAGTGTAGAGAGTTTCATTAAACTGAAATTAAGAGTAGTACTTTGAGAGACTGGTACAGAGAAAGCCAGGTTAAAAAGTGTCTTTTCAGTTGAAAAGAATAATAACAATTTAAAAATTATTCAAGGTCATTTAAATACAAATATTATATTAAGTCTATTTGACCATAGTTTTTGGAAGGCTTAAGACTTTTGGGGATTTTTTAAAAATACAACATGCAAACTTTTTAATGCATATATGTATTTTCCCCTCAGACTCTTAAAGCAAGCTAAATTTCCCCCCAGATCTTGTGTAAATATGCATATATAAAATGCCTTCAAGTAACTCTCTCTCTTGGCCCAGAATCCCGTGTATAGTATGTATGATGTTAATGAAGTTAATTACTCAACCTGTGGTCAGGATGCCAACCCACCCCCATGACCTCAGGTACCTTATTCTATCTTTTACAAACTCTTTCTCCAATACCTTCAACATCTCTATTTACCCAGGCGGACTGGCACCCTTAATTGTTTCTTCTCTGTGGGTAACAGAAGCTCCATAGGAAAAGTGGTGGCTACGTTCTCGATGCATAAGCAGCTTCAGAATCTACCTCTTAGGGTTCACTTTAAGGCCTTTCGTGACCGCTTTATTTATTCTTGTTTGTTTTTTTTTCCTATTGCCTCCAATTGAGGGCCTCCCTTTTGATACATGACAGTTGAAAACTCCACCTGCCTTTTAGTTCTCTCCCCTCTCAGAGGACTCTTTCCTTTGTTCTGCAGCCCAGAGGCCAGTCTCACCCTCACTCTACTGACTGTTTCCTGGGTCGTGGGCTCACCTCAGGGCCTGGCCTGTCCGTGGCCCCGCTTTACTCTTTATCCACATATGCAGTTAGCAGAAACCAAATCTTTTCTTACAGCTTTTAAATATGTTTAAGTCTGTCTCATCTAAAAAAAATCTTTCATTACTTAAGTTCCTACTGCAGGTTCAGTACCGCTATCTACTTCCCTTTTTAATCAAGCTCCTTGAAAATATAGCCTGAACTTCAGTCTCCGTTTCACGGCCCCCAGAACATTGACTTCTGTTCCCAGCAGCACAAACAGCTTGCTCCTGCTAAGGACGCCATTGGCCACATCAGTAGCTCCAGAGGATACTCTTGTAAATTTATTTCAAACTCACTGTGGCCTGAGACACTATAGACCATTCCCTCTTTCTTGGAATTATCTCTGATGATATGTTTGGCACTTCATTCTTCTGGCTTCCTGGAAAAAAATAATTACATTAAGTACAAATGAAAATCACCTCAAACATTCATAAAAGTATGAAGATTGTAATCCAAAACTTCTTAATAGTACTACGCATCGAATACACAGCAGCAAAAACTGCAGACACGTGCCACATGTTGGCCTTCAGTATCTGTTTGTTTAACTTTACCGGAAAGGTGCTGGCTGAGTGGGCCAAGAGTTATTCCAAGTTGGTTCTGATTCTTGAGGCCAGGATCTACAGCCTGCACCGGACACATTGTATCAAAGCCTAATGCTTCACCTGGAGGGCAACTCTCCAGAGCTGAGATTCTCCTTCTGCTGAAGCAGATATGGTAGCCTAAAGTTTCCTGATAGAAAAAGAAAATGAAGGAAGAAGTGAAAAATTGGACAGGCTCAATCCTTTGTCTCCACTGTAATTTTCAGAGTGGTTGATGTGAAGTGCAGAGCTGAAGGCTGGCTGGAGGGAATGAGGTGCTTTCAATGACGTGCTGGCTTTTCTGAATGGAAGGGTGTCAGATCTGCTTTACCCTCCCACTGAAGTTTCTTTCAGTTCAACAGGAATTCCTTGAATGTCCACTATATGCCAGACATTCTGATGGGCAATAGAGTTACAAAGATAAGGAAGGCACAACCTGTATCCTCAAGGAGCATCAGTTTGGTGAACACTTGATTTCATCACGTGAGGATCAGAGACGCTCCTCTCCAGTGAAGCATCAGAATCCTTAATTCATCTGGTGGATTCTCTCCATTCTTCTCTGCTGAATTCACCAACCCAATTACACTCCTCAGTGCCCTGACAATCCTATTTGTACCTATGCTTCTGAGTTTTCCTAACGATTCCTTGGATAAAGATTGTACTAGTATCCTCAGTTTGTTAAAGGACATTTCATTTCCTGTGAATTTATTCTTATGGGTATCAATGTACTGCCTGCATTAGTCTTTCAGAGATGCTGTTTCTGTTGGATAAAACATTGGCCGAGTCTTTTGGCTCATCCCATGTTATCCACATTTCTGTTCCTTTTGTAAGTATTCCTATTGCTTTGGGATTTTAGTTGTTAAGAGGATAGTCAAATAGAATCAAAACAATTATGCAATAATGTGCATGCCAAGGTTTCCTGGCATCACTTACCAGAAATCTACAGTGTTACAGTGTATTGCCCAAATATTTTATTTACATTCAACTTGTCCCAAGGTATTGCTAAGAATAGAAATGAATATATAGCCTGTTTGCTCGGAGTATTAAGCCACATAGCCAAATTTGGATACGTTAATGTTGTATCTGTATCTCCCTCATGAATAGAGAATATGGAATTGAAAAATGACTAGCATGGAGGACAGAATGACTCAGAAATCTAAGAATAGCCAAATCATGTGAAAAGACCCAAAGGCTGCTTCGAAATGAACTGCATCTGCCTGACTCACAAAACTGGCAAATTAAACTATTTAGATCTATGCAAAATAGCATTTCACCAGCATTTTATCTGCATATTTAATTTTGCTTCGGGTTAGTAAGGATTTACCTTCTTTCTGTGAGATAACATACAGGTTCAAAGGTGTACTCTAACTCAGAAAATAATCAAATTTGTTTTGTTTCTATCAGATTATGAAGTCATAACTTGGAGTCTTCAAAGTTATTTTAGGAATAGATTTGAAAATACACTTTGGTTGAACTAAATGCTCCTCAGAAGTCTAGGAGACACTAGCCACCGAAGCACTAAGAAAGGAAGATAAAAGCCTCTGTCACTATGGGAGACTCAGTGTTGCCCTAGATGAGCACCTTATCCAGGATTCGGGGAATAATAAAACCTTTTTTTTTTTTTTTTAAGATGGAGTCTCGCTCTGTCGCCCAGGTTGGAGTGCAGTGGCCAGATCTCGGCTCACTGCAAGCTCCGCCTCCCGGGTTCACGCCATTCTCCTGCCTCAGCCTCCCGTGTAGCTGGGACTACAGATGCCCGCCACCTCACCCGGCTAATTTTTTGTATTTTTAGTAGAGACGGGGTTTCATCGTGTTAGCCGGGATGGTCTCGATCTCCTGACATCGTGATCCGCCCGTCTCGGCCTCCTAAAGTGCTGGGATTACAGGCTTGAGCCACCGCGCCCGGCAATAATCAAACCTTCTAAATAGAGTGTCCACTCTGCTTTAGGATCATTAGCTGCTTTATTGGAATCTAATCGGGAAGAGAACCAATATTAATATGAGAAGACACATCCTTTACTATGCTCATCACCACACTCACCACCGACATACCATCAAGGAAAGAAGGCAAGAGGTGGTCACTAAAGCTGAATGTCCTGCGTTAGCCACCATGTCAGTTACTCTCATTACCACCACACTGTGCCCTCTGGAATTCCTGTAGTTTGATCAACAAACAAACCTATATCCCAAATCTCTCCCCGAAAGTCCTTGAAGCCCCTTGCCTTTGTTAAATTCTGGATCTCGTCTATGGGCTCAGCCTCCCTGCAGCCCTCTCACATGAAGGTTGTTTTCTTCTCAAAAGTACTAAAGGCATCCTTCCATCCACCATGGGCAACTTTGCAAATACTTTTGCTGTCTCCACACCATTATTTCATCTGTAAATCTCCTGCTGCTTCTAGTTTCATGCCAACTGGAAAAAATATCCAACTCCTTTATCCCTGCTGTTATCTACCGGTCTCCCATTCATCACCCCTCATTTACTGAAGATGTTAACTTCTGGTTAGCTCTCATCACGCACAATGACTTCAACATCAATACGGATGACCCACTCAGCAGTCTGGGTTCTCAGTTTCTTGACCTTCTCACTCCAATAGTTCCCTTCTGTTCCACTTTGGCCACTTTCTTCAAAGAGTTCATTCTACACTTGTTTATGCAAAAATGCCCCATCCCTAAAACTTTGATGGCAGATGTTCCCTTCTCTCATCACTACCATTTGGCTTTCCACCCATATGTCTTTGATGCATCACTTTTTGATGTCAATGAGCCAATCCACCATTTTTTTCAGTTACCTTCAGCCCCCTCCATGCTTCAATTTCCTCCTTCTCTATCTTAGATGATGTGATCCTTCTTTATGAATTCTCTTTCACAATTATTTTTAACTCCCTTTTGCCACTTTTCCCTTATGTACCAGCTTACTAAAACTCTAATCCAGTATGGATTAAACCATTTATGTTCTCCTTGCCAGTGAATATTGCACAGAAAAATTACATGACCACATTGACTATTTATTTTACTTTTTTTTCTTCTTTTGTATTTGTAATAAAGTTAAAGAGTGCAAATGCAGTTTTCTTACATGAATATATTTTGTAGTGGTGAAATCTGGGCTTTTATTATAACCATTACTTGAATAATGAACATTGTACCCATTAAGTAATTTCTTATCTCTCACCCCGCTCCCACTCTCCCATCCTCCTGAGTCTCCAGTGTCTATTATTCCACACTATTGTCCGTGTATACACACTATTTAGCTCACACTATGAGAACATGCAGTCTTTGACTTTCTGTTTCTGAGTTTTTCACTTAAGATACTGGCCTTCAGTTCATCCATGTTGCTGCAAAAGACATGATTTCATTCTTATGGCTCAATTATATTTCATTATACACACACTCACACACTGACACACTGACACACACACACACACACACAGCACATTTTCTTTATCCAGTCATCCATAGATGAATGCTTAGGTTGATTCCATATCTTTGTTATTGTGAATAGTGCTAAGTAAGACTTTTTATTTTAAGTGCATTTTCTTTTAAAAAGTCAAATTCAATAACAAGTTAATTTTTCAATAACAAGAGCAATCTATTGTGTTTTTCTAATAGGCTTGCTTTTCTATCCCAAGATGAGTATTTCACACCTGTTTTGTCTCCTCAAACTTCATCCTAAGGTATTCTTGGTTCTCCTTTCAGCTGAAGACTTTGCCTTATTTGTCAATAGAGAAAGTAAGAAGGGCCAGTGGGAAATTCTTCAGCCCCTCACCACTGCTTCTACATACAAATAAGATTTTGAAGAAAATGACCTCAATCAGATGGGAGTATAGGAGTTTCTGGTGCTCATCCCCTAAGGGAAACATCAATTTGAATAAGCATCCATGCAGGCTGTACCTTCATGAGAGCTAAGGATTCCAGGTGAGAGATTATATCACCTCAATTGAACACAGAAATAAGAAAAGAAACACTAAAGATAGTAGGGGGCACAATTTCACATTACCCATGTCACCCCCATCTCCAAGCCCATGTAGTGCAGCTCAGAGAGAGACACCCTTCTCATGAGGAAAAAAGAGTGAAATGAGTACCCAACTTCACCACCAACCCCAGCGCCAGACCCAGAAAATCCCGACACCGAGCCATCCCCTGCAGATACAAGCTCCAGGCCCACCTGCCCACTGACCCAGACACTGGGCCAGCCTGCCCAAGAACTCCAAAAGCAAGCTTGCTCGTGGGCCCTGCCAGCTAACCTACCTCAGATCTCTAGATGAGCTGACAGATGAAGGGCTCTTCTTGCCAAAGCCAGTCTGTAAAGATTGGCAAAGGTGTCTACTTCTCCCAATGCATAAACACCCAAAGCCAGGCCACAGAAACATGGACATCATCACTGACTCTTCGCTTTCTCATGACATGTCACCATTTCAGGAATTTAAAAAATCGGTCTATTCTTTCACTAAAATGTGTTAAATCCATGCACTTGTCTTCATTTTCATTGCCAACAGGATAGCCTAAGTCACTAACGTCTCTTTTCTAGATTTCTCTATGAGCCTCTTAACTGAGCTACCTATTCAGAACAACCCCATGGCAATCTCTAATGTCACCCAATTATTTAAAAACTGTCTAGCAAACTTAAAAAATCAATGTGTCTCTTTTTCTTCCCTTAAAATTTTAAATGCACCCCTCCGTTTACATCATTTGATTTTCAGGTTTTTTTAAATCAGACATTTTTCACACATGTGGGGAGCACTGAGATTTCTTTTAAAGCAAGAATAATGATGAAAGGAATCAATTATTGATTAAAATTAGCATAAAACTTGAAACTTAGCATTACCATATCATTTTAAGATAGTTTGAAAAGTTAATCGTAAAAATAAATGTGTTTTAGAAAATTTCAAATGCTATAGAAGAAAGCAAAGTATAAAAGAAGACATTGTCCTCCACTATCAAACCCCAAGGGCTCAGTCTCCAAAAAGCAGTGTTTACAATTTTTCATGCTTGTTTTCAGAAAATGTCTATGCACATATAAGCCTAATAAGGTTTTCTTATTTTTGTTGCCAAAAGAAAAAATGAAATTGTGTATACAAATTTTTCTGCAACTTGCTTTTTTATTAACACTTTAGCTTTGATAGTTTTCTTCAGTGACTCATTTCTCATTCCTTTTACTGACTGCATGACATTCTATTAATAAATATACTATTATTTATTTACTATTTACTATTGTTATATACTATTATTTATTAACCGATCTCTTATTGGTAGATATATAAGTTGCTTATTCATTTGCTCTTTCACATGACTCTGTAATTGGAATATTTGAATATACTTTGTAGAATTATGGGAATATTTCTGTGTAATAAATTATTAGAAGGGAAATCTCTGGGAATATTTCTGTATGATAAATTCTTAGAAGGGAAATCTCTGCGTCAAATAATATATGCCTTTAATTTTGAGTAATTTTGGCAAACTGCTCTCTAAAAAGTTGAATTATTTTATTTAATTTTTAAGTGTTTGAGCATCATAATATATTCTTGTTTAATTTGTTTTTTAAAAAATCTAGACTAAAAACAAATTCTTTTATATGTTTTTTGACTGTTACTATTTCTTTTCCCTTTTTGGTGAAATACCTGTTCATACTATGTTTTTTACAATTTTATAGATTATTGTTAATTTTTCCAGCTTTGTGTACATTAAGTACAATTAGCTTTTTGTTCATCATATGTGTTGTACATAATTGTTCCTATTTTGTTTTTTTGCTTTGACTTTGTTTATAATTTTTGCAATTGAACGGTTTACAATTTTTTTTTTTTTTTTTTTGAGATGGAGTCTCACTCTATCCTCCAGGCTAGATCTCGGCTCACTGCAAGCTCCACCACGTGAGTTCATGCCATTCTCCTGCCTCAGCCTCCCGAGTAGCTGGGACTACAGGCGCCCGCCATCACGCCCGGCTAATTTTTGTATTTTTAATAGAGACAGGGTTTCACCAAGTTGTCCAGGATGGTCTCAAACTCTTGACCTCATGATCCGCTCACCTCAGCCTCCCAAAGTGGTGGGATTACAGGCGTAAGCTACCGCGCCTGGCCAGTTTACAATTTTTAATAGTCAACGCATCCATCTTTTCCTTTCCTGATTATTTCATGATGCATAGTAATGATTTTTACACTTACAAAGAATACTCTATGCTCTTTTTTGGTGACTTTCAAATTTTCTTTAAATCTTGGATCTACTTGAAATTTGTTTTGGTATAACAAATGAGAAAAGTTACCAACTTATCATTGTATTTTGAAATTTTAAATGGTTAGGAAATTGTTTCCTCTTTTGCTAACTCTTCCTCATTGTTTTAGTTCATACAGGCTGCTGTAACAAAATACTGTACATTGGAGATTGTGTGTGTGTATAGCTATATATACACTTCTCTGGAGAACCCTTACTAAAATACTATTATTTTGAAATATAGCCAAATGCACATCTCATTAGTTCCATTGAATTAATTCCATTATTTTGATCCACTATATTCTTATTTCATTTGCCTGTCATGAGAGGTGAGTTATAAATCTCCTACTATTATTGTTT